ATACTTGATTGAATTAACAAAAATATACAGACAGTGTTGGATACATATCAGTTTGACTCCAAGTTTTTAAAGTGTTAGTTTTGGGTGTTGAACAGTGTTTCTAAGTGTAGTTTATACCCCTTTATATTGTCCATTAGTCTTGATGTTGGACTTGCTGGTAATGTTTTCCCTTCTTGCAGATGACAGGCTCAAATGAATACAAACTGAACCAGGGACCAGAGGACACCATCTCTGCCGTCAAGTTCAGCCCCAGCACAGCTCAGTTCCTGCTGGTGTCCTCATGGGACTGCACTGTCCGTCTCTTCGATGTCGGAGGCAACACCATGCGGATGAAGTACCAGCACACAGCTCCAGTTCTTGACTGTGCTTTTTATGTAGGTCATAGATTTATGTATATGGTCCTTGTTGTCTTGTCAAAGCATTTGTCTGGTATATACAGATAATATTCACCTTTAACTTGCAGGACCCAACACATTCCTGGAGTGGAGGATTAGATGCACAGTTAAAAACGCATGATTTGAACACAGACCAAGGTTTGTCGCAAACCTCTTAAGTACCACTAAAAAGCTTTCAGGCAGTATCATAACTCTTCACTTTGGAGAGTTGAATGTGCTGAATTTTTTATTCTATTGACTGCTGCAATATTCACCCTAAACAGATACAATAGTTGGAGCACATGATGCTCCCATCCGTTGTGTGGAGTACTGCCCAGAGGTTAACGTCATGGTAACAGGTAGCTGGGACAGATCGGTTCGGCTGTGGGACCCGAGGACACCCTGCAATGCTGGCACCTTTACACAGCCTGAGAAGGTAGAGCACAAGAGCCATGCAATTGTTTCAAAAGTTATTTTAATAATATCAATGGGGTGATAATGTCGGGTCAGAATCACTTAAATGTTGTAATAGCACAATATATCAAGTATTGCAAGATTTTACATTTTAATTTACATGCAATTGTTAGTTTCTTGCCTTGTTGAGTTGTATTTATTTATCAAAGAACTTTCAAAATATAAACTTAGGGACAGAAATGTCATTTATTTTTATGCTTTTTCATACAATGGGGTGGCCATTTAAGTAGATCTTTTCTACTTGCACTTAACTAGATGTCGATGATACAGAATGATGATATTGGTTTATAAATAATGGAGCTTATTGTAAAAACTTTAAAATACAGTATAACTGAGACAATACAGAAACGTGGAGAAAAAGGTGACATCCGCTCTTGTCTCAAACACGTGATCTATACGAAAGGTGTATACGCTTTCTGTGGCCGGAGATAGACTAATCGTCGGCACAGCTGGAAGAAGAGTCCTGGTGTGGGATCTGAGGAACATGGGCTACGTACAGCAAAGAAGAGAGTCCAGCCTCAAGTATCAGACACGCAGCATCAGAGCTTTCCCCAACAAACAGGTACCCTTCAAATCCCAAGACACTTTTTTATCACATAAAGTTTACACAGTATTAATGAAACTCACAGTTAGCTGTTGACAGGTAATTTACTCCTTACAGAGTATAATGTTACGAAACAGATTCCTGTGTTAATGTGAAGAACTTGAATGGTAACTTGGTATTTTGTGTCTTGGCTCCAGGGCTACGTCTTGAGTTCAATTGAAGGACGAGTAGCTGTGGAGTACCTGGACCCTAGTCAGGAGGTTCAGAAGAAGAAATACGCGTTCAAATGCCACAGGCTGAAGGAGGACGGAATTGAGCATGTTTACCCCGTCAATGCAATCTCATTTCACAGTGTTCATAACACCTTTGCCACAGGTACAACTGGCTCATTAGTAGCTACTTCATAAAAACAATGTTTTTTTTCCTGTGATTTGTTTTTGCAAAACCATCTACCTGTGACCTTCAGCATTAAGCCGCCAAGGTCGCACGTGGAACAAGCTGTTATTATAGATCCATATCTCAACACTTTCTAAATCTTTTGAGCTTGACCTTGAGTCTCCCCTTCTGCCAGGTGGCTCGGACGGCTTTGTGAACATCTGGGACCCATTCAACAAGAAGCGCCTGTGCCAGTTCCACCGGTACCCGACCAGCATCGCGTCCCTCGCCTTCAATAACGACGGCACCATGCTCGCCATCGCCTCCTCTTACATGCAAGAAAAGGGTGATATCGGCCACCCAGAGGATGCCATCTTCATCCGCCAAGTCACAGATGCTGAGACGAAGCCGAAGTGAGTCTTCCTCATCCCTGTGGTGTGTAATACTCCTGCATAATGTGGCACCTTGCTTCTTGCTGAATCTGTGAGCAGCTGTATTTACAAAGAGCACGTCCATCTGCAGCAGATGCTGATCTGTATCTCAGTTCATCCACTTTTCAATATCCGACAGTTGAAAGATGCACAGATGAACTTGAAAATGTTCCTG